ATTCAAGTTCAAGTCCTGCCTGAGCAATTTAGTGAAACTCTCAAAATTTTAAATTAAATAAAATGGGCTGGAAACATGACTTAGTACCCGAGTCTGTGGCTTTGATCACTACTGCCCCGAAAAAGCAATTGGAAGTAATAAAATTATACAGATATTAATACACTGAAATAATGAGACTAATAAGTTGAAAGGTACTTCAGAAATCATTGCCAAAACTATTCAAGTAAAAACAAGAAGATATAAAATGAGTAAGGGGCAATCTGTAAAGAAGATAGGAATTTGTTTGAATTATGAAATAACACAGTGGAAGCAAAAATCTGACTTTAAATAAATTTGATGTAAACACAAATTTGATAAATTTAATAAAAATACAAATCCTAAAGTTGATTTAAAAAGTCAAAATACATAAGTAAACAAAAATGCAGTTGGCTTTTCAAAAAGGACCCAATAACAGGTGATTTTTTTTTTTATGTTCAGTGTTTTCAAATATAGACGGTCAAATCATTTTCCTGATGGATACATAGAGACCTAGGTCATGCCTAAGGCTAGGACAGCTTTCATACCACAGCCTGACAGAAATGTCACAAAGGGAGAAATCTTAGCCTGGCAGGTGGCATTCACCTGAATGCCAGTACTCAGGAGGCTGCAGTAGGAGAATTGTGAGCTGGAAGCCCGCCTGGGCTACAGAGCAAGACTCCAAGCTAACAAAAATGAGAAAACTAAACCAGTCATACTTACGGGTATAAACACAAAGGTTACAGTTAAGTGTTTGTCACTGACGTTGACTCAGTAAACACATTTTGAGTGCCTGTGTCCCCAGTCCTGCAGTAGACATCGATAACACCAGTGTTGCACGGTGCACACTGTGCCTTGTGGCCTTGTGAATGCCACCTTGGCTGGGACACTGGACGTGAAGAGCGGTCTATCCATCGCAATGTATTTGTAGTGTAAACAGAGGATGCTGCGGGTTCTCAGGTTACCCCCAAGACACGTGCGGGAGTCTTTGCGGGGAGTGGGAGCTGCGCAGTGTGACTCACAGGTGGGAAGTGGTATACACACAGGCATGCACACAGCTGCTCAGTGGCCCAGGAGGCATGTAGCACAGCATGGTCCCATGAGGGAAGTAGGATATGGAAGAGCCCAGAAGCTGACTAGGGAGAGCTTAAACGTTCCTTCTCACTAGTGAGAGGTGTTCTGTAGTCAGTGGAGACCACTGAAGAGTGTTAAAAAAAGAATAGTCACCCTCTGTGTATGACGGTAAGCTATTATAAACACTTTTCTTTAACATGTAAATGGAAACCTAGATAATGAGAGTCTAATGAAGATAAAGCTAATGTACATAGTCCAGTGAATCTAGAAACCAAAACATTCCATACTTTTGAGTAGATTGGTAATAAGTATTAATAACGTGTGTAACATATGAGAGTTTATAAAGCACTACCACCAAGGCCAGTGGGAAAACAGACATTTGTACCCTTAAGTTTCTTTGAAATTAATCCCTCTTCAATGAATAAAAAAATTTTTTGACAAACGACCGGTTATAGAGCAGAAATAAAGTGATTCAAATATAAAAGTTGAATAACTTGTTAGAATTTCTCTGATCTTTCTCACTCAAAGTTTTTTTCCCCAAGCTGAATACAATGTTAACAGAAAGCAAGAGGAGTGTACGAACGCTGAAGGAAGAAGTTCAAAAGCTGGATGATCTGTACCAACAGAAAGTTAAGGTGAGAACTCCATCAGCTGGAGCAGTCAGCCCACGCCTTACTGGGACGGATCCACACGGCTCCGCTGGGGTCTGTAAGCAGTGTTTCGTAGCTCATGTTAGCCCTCCATTCCACGGTTTATTTTAAAGAACGCCTGGACTTTATTTTGTCTTTTGAAGGACCTTTTTACTGGACTAGGGCTATTTCCCCGTAGAACACAGTTTCTGTCCCATTATCTAGGATTTTGTGTTTGATACCGGTATGTGACTCAGTATCCTGGAAAGACCATGTTTCAAACATGTTTTTTACTTTTCTGTAGAGATTTATTGTTATGTACTCCTAAAGTTTGAGCTCCAGCAAGGTCCGTTGTGTACGTAATTGCTGATTTAGGATCTAGGCAAACTAATGGCCTGGCCAAATTGTGGAGACCACCTCTGTGAACTCTAGCAGGTGGGGAAGATAATAAGATTGATTTGCCACTACTGTACCCCACCCTCCATAGAGCATTTTTCTTAGAAAAGTGTTCAGGTGACTATTCACTGCCACTTTTGTAAATTAAGGGAAAATTTTAACTATGCCTTCATTTTTCTTTTCTTTGTTATACCAACCAAAGTATCAGGAATTGAAAACCCTTTTTCTGGACTGGAGTAATATAGGACTTAGCCATTTTGTTAGCAGTGTGAAATTTGTAGGAAATATACTGCAAAATATGATGTACATGTGAAGGGACATGTGTAATCACGTTCAGTTCATCAGGTACCCTCCCGAGAAGGCCTGGGTTTATTTTCTGAAGCAATTAGATGAGTTAATGATTCTCACACCTGTTTCATCTTCACAAACCTAGAAATTGATGAATTAGTGCCGCTTTGCCTGTGCACAGTCAATACTTCTGAGAAATAATGACTTAGATCAATTCATGCTCATGAAAAAAAATTATCAAAATTTCCTATAAATCAGACTTGAAACTTCTGCTGCATAGGCTGCCTCCAAGCCTCTGGACGGGACCCCGTTTGTGTTGGTAGCACAGAATTCCCCAAAGAGCAGTGCAGGTCTCCCAGGCACAGCAGCACATATCCTGACAACATAGATGATGCAACCGGATTGTTTTTTAAGACTTCACATGAATTTCCTTAAGGCCACCTTGCGTATGTAAAACAGGAGTATCACAGACACCCAGCCATGCCTTTCTCCTGACAGGAAGCCGAGGAAGAGGACGAGAAATGCGCCAGCGAGCTGGAGTCCTTGGAGAAGCACAAGCATCTGCTGGAGAGCGCCGTGAACGAGGGCCTCAGCGAGGCGATGGCCGAGCTGGACGCTGTGCAGCGGGAGTGAGTCCCCTCCATGGGGCCTAGGTCCACATTCATAGACATTGCCTGAAGTTTCTGAGAAGCCAGATCTAGCCTTTCCCCTTAATTTCAATTGTAAAGCTGTTTGGACTGAAGAGTGGTGGCTGCAACATTAAGAGAATGGCGAAAAACCTGAGACGCAGCACTGCCGCAGTTTGCCCCCAAGCAGTCGTTCATCTTACATCCAGCTCAGAAAAGACTTTTAACCACTGAAACAGCAAACAATTTAAATCAAGTTAAATAACTTTGGTTACTTGGTAGTGAATTTTAATAAATCCCACTAAGCTTCTTATAAATCTTAATGTCCCAGACACTAGGATATTATATACCAGTGTGATTACAATATAGGTTATAACCTGCTGTAACATGCCACATGCTTACTAATAATCACCGCACTTTGCAAAATAATGCCCCCGTAAAAATCACAGGACTCACATTCAAAAACACCAATGAGGACACACACAAACAAGTGGCAGAAATCTAATAAAATGTTAGCTCTGTGGCATCACATAGTTCAGAAAAACATAACAGCTGCAGTAAATATGGCACCCTTGGCCTCAGAAAGATCCGCAGTCTGCTTCGGGAATGGGGGGGTGGGCGCAGGAGCTGAGCCTGGGGTCTGTAGGCGGGGGTGGAAGGAGGTTTATCTGGAATGGGATGGAGCGTCTAAGCCTGCTTATGCGCACAAGTGGCTGGTCACAGAGGCCATGAATGAGCCTGCTGGGACACGTGCTGCCCACACGTGTTTTTCTAGTCCTTTATATCTGGATTCAGCTGGGTGCTGTTTTCTGCATTCATTAAGGAAGAAGTTGGCATCAGCAAACGTGAAATTTGCGTTCTGCTCAGATTACTACTTTGTGCTCATGTCACTACCTGATGCTTACATGGGGGTCTGGGGATTTAGCTCAGTGGCATAAGCACCTGCCTGGCAAGCGCAAGTTTGTGAGTTCAATCCCCGGGACCAAAAACAAAACTTACATAGAAAAAATTTTAACCATACTCTAGTAACTGTAGCTGAAAATAGTGACATCTTTTCCTTAAAAAGTACTGTCTTTGTGTAAATAATTCCCTTGTGAGATCTGATCTGGCCTGTAGATCAACAAGTTTAGAACTCCTGGAGGGGAAACAGGGATTAAATAAAAGACATAGGGGAGACAAAAGAGAGACGAAAGCAAGACGAAATAATCTGATCAAGCTTCTGGTTTATTTAGAAAATGATCACACCTTTTATAGGCTAAGGGCGGGAGCTGGGATAGGAAGAGGTTAAACAGATGAATATAACAGGGTCACCGTCACATCTGGATACGTGACGTAAGCAGGAGAGGATTATGGTTAATGTAGGCAGACGCAGTGCCCATAGGAGAGAGAGAGAGACATCGAGGCAGCAATGCCTGTCACTCGGCTCACTACAGAGATCTATATAAAATCAACATAATAATTAATACATAGTCTTCCATATACATCTATATAAATACATACACTTTAAACAATCTCCACTTTGCTTTGGATTTGAATAAAAGTGAGATTCCTATTCACCATTTTCAAAATTTTCTTCTTATCCCTTAGAAATTCAAGTAAGACAACTAGGGTTTGGGAGTATAGCCCAAATACAGAGGTCTTGCCCAGCATGCTGGAGGCCCTGGGTCAATTCCCAGCATCGCAAAAAAAGTTTGTAGCATCCTATGTTGAAGCATAATGTCTGGTGCTGTTTGGTTTGCTCCTGACAAAGCATCTTTGGAAATGTTATTCTGTGTCAGTGATTGAAAGCTAACCTTCTACGAACCACATGCATGCTAAGCAGTACTAGACCAGTCACTGCTTGGCTTTATCGAGGAATAGGATATTCCCATATGAGGTCACTAGACCGCATACAGTAACTTATTTTCTAGGCAACTTAAAAGGAGTTTTTATTCCACAGGTACCAACTAGTCGTGCAGACCACAACTGAGGAAAGAAGGAAAGTGGGAAGTAACTTGCAGCGTCTCCTAGAGATGGTCGCCATCCATGTAGGGTCCGTGGAGGTAAATGTGAAAGGCTTTCCTGTAGTCTGAGCAAGGTTCTTAAAACTTCGGTGTATTCTGCTTTGTTTCTAGAGAAAATAAGTGATAACTTTGATTTCTGTTGAAAATAGCTAGTAAAATTTATCAGAAGTATCTTATCTAGTGCTGGGTAAGGGGTCGAACACATGCATTTTGTAAAATAATGTGTTTTGTTCATAAGAACAACATACAGTGATTTTTACATCAGCAGTATACGATGGTGTTCTTTCCACTGAAAGCATATTAGTACATGTAAGTTTTATTAAGGTTAAGATGAAGGCATGTCAGTTGTTTTTCCTTTCTGTAATTTCATTTAAACATAGAACAAAGTATTTCTGAAACAGGAAATTTGTTTAACCTTATCCCCTCTTTTTACATAGCTAAAAAGATCCCCGGTAAAAGTATTCCTCAGACTTGGCAATCAAAGCCCTAAAACTAGCTGAGGATGGTGGCACGTGACTATAATCCCAGTTCTCTGGGAGACTGAGACAGAAGGAGCGAAAGTTCAACCCCGCTTGAGTAATTTACAAGACCTTGTCTCAAAATGAGAAATAACAGGGCTGGGGATACGGCTCAGTGCCAGGCCCTGCCCAGGCTCAATTCCCAGTACTGCCCCTACCAAAAAATCCTTTTTATTTCATAAACATTCTACTCTTGTTTGTAAATTTCACACTTTTCACAAAATTAATGTTCTTACCTTAATTATTGCTCATTGTTTTCGCTAGAAACATCTTGAGGAGCAGAATACTAAAGCTGATAGAGAGTACGAGGAATGCATGTCTGAAGATCTTTTGGAAAATATTAGAGAGATTGCAGAAAAATATAAGAAGAATGCTGCTCTCCTGAAGGCTTCTGATGAATGCAGATAACAAGTGCTGATTATCTTGTATATTTTATAAATCCATTCCATATGTATAGCTTGAAATTATGATAACTCGTGGATTATTTTTAGAGGCAAAAGAGCAGTTTTGTATATACCAATAGCTAATAAAATTACATTAGTGAAGTGTGATTTCTTCCTGTCGTTTCTTTGCATGACTTGAGATGGTAAGGAGAAAGGTCATGTGATCTAAACCAGGAGCTCGCGAACTACCACATGACCACACTTACCATTCATGGGCTGTGTGTGACCAGGACAGAGCCTGCAGCGGAGACTGCATGGCCTGCAAGCCAGAAATGTTCCCTGATGAGTGCTTCTTAGAAAAGATGCCAATCACCTGTGTAAACGCCAAGAATGCCACGGTCTCATTTTAAATCTTAGTGGCTGAGCACACAGTCCAACCCACTCCTGGTCTGAGAAGGCTGAGTTCTCTTTGGCTTCCTGACATCTTTACTCTTAAGCAGCAGAATACAGAATATGAGACTCAGGAAATGATAAAGTCACGTTCAACTCCCGCATTTCAGAAATGGAGGCTTTGTGCCTAGAGATGTTCCAGTTCACCACTGATCACATCTGGTAGAAGCAACCCTGTAACTTGAAACTGATGCCCAATTGAATTCAGCCACTGGAGCCTTTAACGAGCAGCTCCTGGCACGTTGCAGAGCCTTGGTGAAAACCAGGAACAAACAGTGACTACATGCACTTCCCATTGTGACCCTCAAGTCACTTCGTCTGCCCACAAGCACACCGTACCTCGGGGTGACAAGGCCAAAGTGCACAATTGGGCTGCCCTGTGGGCTGTTTAGGCCCTCAATCCTGGGTCCAGATGCACCAAGCGTTCTCCTATGCAAACTGTCCCCCGCTAGCTGAGCGAGCAGGAGTAACTCCAAGCTTGGCTTATAGGTGACTTAGCTTGCAGGTGGGGTTTGGCAGGGATCTGGAACCGCATTCAGAGATGCTAGCCCTGTCCAGAGAGGCTCCATGCAGGGACTCTGACACCCCACTTGTAGAAGTGCTCCAAGATGAGAAGACAGGTTCCTAAGCAGTGGCCCGCTGGTTTGGCCCTCAGGCCAGGTCCCTGAACACGAAGGGTCCTGAGAGGAATGAGCTATCCAGATACCCGAATGGCCACGCCGTCAGCAGTCACACACAGGGCTGATCACAGGGACTGATTTACCAGCACTGGCCCCTTACTGCAACTCACAAAAGTTCATTTTGTCAGCAGCAGAGGACTATCACTTGAGACCAGTGGCTACTTGGTGGCAAATTGGCTACATGCAATCCCTCCTGTCCTAATAGGGCCAGGACTTTGCCCTCACAAGGATGGATCCCTATTCTGGGAAAAGAAAACATTCCATATAAAAATAGGGGACCAGGGGCTGGGGGTTTAGCTCAGTGGCATGAGCGCCTGCCTTGCAAGCAGGCGGTCATGAGTTCGATCCCCAATACCGATAAAAATGAAAAAGACAAAAAAAAAAAATAGGGGATCAGGGACATAGCTCAGCAACATGAGCTCCTGCCTGGCAAGGGGTTTGATCCACAGGACAAAAAAAATACTATTAAGTTAGAACCCAGAGGAGAATTCATAGCTTTAAAGGCATCTTAAATAAGAAACTAAGAATCCAAAAAATTAAGGGAAGAAATAACAAATTGAAGCAAGCAGGAGTTAAGGAATAAAAAAAGCAAAGTTGTATCAGGAAACAAGTTTCAGAACTAATGTAACAGAGATGTCCTTTGCTGTCCTTGTCTCTCAATGCTCCCTGTTAAGAAGAACAGCAGACCCGCAGACATGGATCCCACATGCATGGCACCTGGCAAGTGGGAGAAACAGATCCTGTGACCCGTGGGTCCACTAGTTGAGTCATGTGCTGGCCTTCTAGGGACAAGCACCTTGAGGTGCAACTGAGATGCCAGCCTGGAGAGCTCAATGGAGTTACCACCCCTGAGGATGCAATGTGCTTATTCAATCGGAGACTATCAGAGCTATGTCCCCAGTGGGAGGAACACAGGGATGTGCAAGTGAAAGAGCCACCTCAGAACTGCTCCAGTCAGCGTCATTCCCAGTGGCCCACTGGGGCTTTCGTGCTCCCCATCCTTTGTACTACAGGATCAGAGGTCCACTTCCCAAAGTGGACATACTCTTACCCAGATTTACAGCAAAGGTATCATTGATGTGCTACTGCTATAGCTATGACCAGGACACCTCAGACTCCTCGTGCCTGGGGAACTGTAGGAGAGTGAAAAAGCCACCAGCATGGCAGGGATGAATGGCCATGCTCAGGCTGGACGTGCTTTTATACAATGGTGGCAGAACCAGTGACCAGAGGAGCACTCCCAATGTGCGCTCGAACCATTCCGCTCTGAGCAGAAACATGGCAGAAACCCAAACTGAGGGGAGGATTACTGTGGTATCTTCAGATCCCTTGATGTTTTGGGCCACAGCACCAGGTACATGGCAGCTGAGAGTGAAGGAATGTGGAATGGATGGTGGAGGAAAGGATGAGTACCAGTAGGTTTTGTTTTTGTTTTTTTTTTTTTTTTTTTTTTGGTACCTGCAATCAAACTCAGGACCTTGCGCTTGCCAGGCAGGTGTTTATGCTGCTAAGCTGTATCCCTGGCCCTTTTAATGTACTTAAAAGCTATGAAATTTTCTCTGGATTTTACTGTAGTGTCTCATGAATTTATACGTTGTGTTTTCATCATCTGTCATTTCCATTAGTGATGCCTCTTTGTACTAAGAACAATTTAAAATAGTTTTAAATTTCTGTGCTGGGGATTGAGCTCAGCGGCATAAGCACCTGCCTTGCAAGCAGGCGGTCATGAGTTCGATCCCCAGTACCGGTAAAAAAGAAAAAAAAAATTCTACATAGAAAAGTTTTTCCTCTTTGTTGAGATTTTTCCTTCAAGGCCTAATAGATTTCGGACTGCTCATGGGCAACTGAAAAGACAACAAACCAATTGCTGTGTTATTGATCGGATCTAGATAACCAGGTTACCAAGGTATTTTGTAATTTACCTACTTTAACACTTTTTTTTTTTTTTTTTTTTTGTGGTAGTGGGGATCGAACTCACAACCTCGCACTTACCAGGCAGGTACTTATGCGGCTGAGCTAACTCCCTGGCTCTTTAACACTTTTTAAAATTGATACTGTGTTGGCGTTTGCAAGAGAGTGGCTTTAATACAGGACACATAATTTATAGGATTATTTTATTACGTTTGCCCCAAAATTATGCATGTTTAACTGCAGAAGAGCACAGAGGATCTGCCATGCACTAGAAACCCAAAGAATCCAGCCGAGGGCCTGGATCCCATGGCAGTGTCCTGTATGAGTCCAGCTGGAGGCCTAGGGCCCACAACAATGTCTCTTGAAAGTCTGAATCACGGATCTGCACCAGGAAGGCACAAAGACCCTGGTGGAAGCTAGAAAGTCTGCGCCAACAGGATGAAGGATGTGTGCCAGTAGCTGAGGGATCCACACTGAAGGCAAGGACCAGAGCTCCGGCAAAGAGAACCGCAGCCATGCTCGGTGAGAGCGAGGACCTGAGCTCCTCCAGTGATAACAGCTGAATACATATCAGAAAACCAGTGTGACAAGCTTCTCCAGGAGAATCACCAGCCCACCATCTGCCCTCCAGTTCTCCTCCTATGCTGCTGACAACAATCCTCAGGTGGGCCTTCTGCACCCAGCACCTTGCTGATTCAGTTCAGCTGGGGTTATGAGTTGACCATTAGTTAGTCCACCACAGATATCAGCATTATGTGGTGCGAGACTTCCATACACATGTGCAATGTGTAATGGTCAGGTCAGGGTAATTGGCACATTTATTATCTCAAATATTACTGTTAATGTTGGGAACATTAAAAATAATCCTTATCACCTATTGGTTTGATTGCTGATGTGTAGAAAAATACAAAGTGCAAGTTCTCATAGTGAGCAAGCGGCAAAGTTCTCTGGCAAACAACAGCCTCTGAGTTTGACAGTCTGACTTCAGAACCTCAGTGCTTAACTGTTCCCCACGCCGCCCAATGCATGCTGTGCATCAGACCATTCCTGTTGCGATATTGCTTGGGGTTAAGCTGTTCAGTTGGAGAAACAGATCTCACAGGATGACATCCTGAAATCAATAAAAAGCACCATGAGGACCAGGGAGACAGCAGAGCAACTGGTGAGGTATCTGGGAAGTCATCCAGGACGGAGCTGAGGAACTGTGCAGTGTCGCCAAAGAATCTGCCAACTCATGAAGCTTTAACCCGGGGAGCTGTCACGGCTCAGTGTGCAAAGTGGAGGTGCAGTGTAGTGACGCAGAGACATGCAGTTAAGGTGAGGTGGTAAAATGATTCACATGGAGCCCCTGAGTGAGTGGGGGCCCAGTGACAGCGGACTGTGTACAAAGGTCATGAGGGTGGAATGGTTTATCTTCTGCACACCTTCCTGCTTCTGCCTGGGACAGATAGCAGCTCTGAAGCGGAAGACTCCACCCCCACACCCTAGCAGGGTGCAGATACAAATGGGGAAACACACACACATATACCATTTGCCTGCGAAGGCTTCGTCACTTGCTCCTTGGTGGCAGAGGTGAGAAAAGCAGCCACAGTCTTTGAACTCCTGAGACAGGTAGAAGACTGGGCCCTGAAGCAGGCAGAGCTGCTGCTCAAGAGCGGAGGTGAGTCCACCTGGGGATCCTCCGGGACTGCGTCCAGAAGAGCCCTTGACCCACAGCAGTGTCTTGGCAGGGGGGTGGAAGAGTGGGGACAAACATCCTGCATTATCTTCCCGCCTCAGGTATGGAAAGAGTGTCTGCTCGCCTGCATCAGAGAGGAAGTGATTTGCTGAAAGAAAGTACTTTGTACAAGGAGATGAAGAAGTCGAACTCCACCACCCAGAGAGAAGCAGAGGGGATGCCTGGAGCGTCTGCGGGCTTGGAGCAGAAGAGATGAGAGCAGGGCTCTGACCACGGCTTTCCTAGGCATCCGCAGGGTCGTGCTCCAAGTCCTTTTGCCCAGAAAGGAATTCAGACGCGCTCTCCTGCCCCAGAAGGGAGCCAGAAGGTCTAGCAACCACCAGAAATGCCCTTTTGCAGCGGAGAAAGGAAAGGTGTCCTTCTACTTGATTTCCTCAGCGCTGAGACACAATACCCGACCCCACGATTTAGGGACGTAGAGGTTTCGTTTGCCTTACATTCTGTAGAGGTGTCAGCCCTTGGGCCAGTGGTGGCTCCGAGGCAGGGTGGCATGGCACAGGAGGACTGCTCCCAGCATGGCAGGCAGGAAGCAGAGAATGACCCAGGAAGAAGGAGGGAGACAGACCTCCCAGGCAGCCCCTGGGGCCCACCTCCCATGTCCCACACCAACTTATCCACTGATGAGTATCCAGTCACCTCCCTGTGACCACAGGAGGCTTTGAGGGACAGCCAGATACAACAGTAACAGTGCGGAACCATCCAGTCTGCTGTGGAGGGGGAAAGGTCAGCTAGCTCTGGCTAACGGGTCCTCCACCTTCAGGCAGGTGGGGAGCCAAGAGCAGCTGCAGAGGGGAGCAAATCCAAGTGCTCCTGACCTGTGGCTGGAGGAGGGTACAGCCGGTCCTCCTTCCCGGTGAGAGCTGAAGAGATGAGCCCTGAAGCCCTTCCTGCAGCAGGCGGAGAAGTGGGGAAGGTACCAGCACAAGGGCTGTGCTTCTGTGTGGCTGCCTCTGAAAAAGGATTGGTGGCAATTTTTTTGCCTTTACTATGCTGGCCCAGAGGTTCTGGTGGCCTCCTCTGTTCCATGCCACCCCTTGGTAGTCTCACCGTGGGCAGACCTCCAAGGTCAGTAAGGCTGCTGGGTGGGCACAGCACAGCCTGGGGAGGGTGGGTGTGCTGGGCAGTGCCTACGGGACCCCCCACGGAGGCAGAGGTTGAAGCTGCAGGCCTCTAAGCTGAGCTGGTGAACATCTGAGCTGAACTGGTGGAGGGGGGAGGGGCCTCCCGGGGGAGGTTACAGCAGCAAGGAGGACAGTGAGGGCAGCGGGAGAGGACACGCCTGCCGGCACTGACGACCACAGTGACCTCCCTTCCTGTTGTGCTTGGCTGAGTGAGCCACAGCACCTTTGAGGACTCCAGCTCGTGCTGGACTGCTGGACGCAGCCTTCTCTTCAGTGGCCCCCGGGGGAAACAATGCACTATCTAGCACAAACTTCCCGGCTCTGAGAAGGTCGGAGGGCTGGGCCGAGTTAGTTTTGCACATGTGAACCAAAAACACTCTAACAGGGAAAGCGTTGAGGTGCCATCTCGTGGGTCTAAGAATCTAAACCGTTCAGTGGGTCCCTGTGTGTGTGTGTGTGTGTGCACGCGCGTGTGCTTGTGATTCTGCTTTAGCTTTAGCATTCTTTTTTTTCTTTTTTGTGAAGCCTTTCTTTAGGTCTGGGCCACAGGAACAGGAGGGACACACCCAACAGCTGTAGGGGCAGGAAGCCTCTGTGAGACTAAAGCACAAAAACATGAATTCCGAAGGCCTGTGAGCATCTTCTGCCCCAGCCAGCAGATTTCTTGCAAAAAATCTGTCTGGCACACATCTGATGGAGGATTGGGACGCTCGGGTCTCCTGGCCCGGCATAGTTTGGGTAGTGTTGTCTCCTCAAGCACTGTTTCCTTTGGAGAAGCGTTTCTTTTCTAGATGGCCTCTAAGACACAGTAGGAGCTGAGTCCCAAGGGGCCACCAAGGGCCACACACAGCAGTCACAGCCACCGCACACTGCAGGAGGGTGCAGAGAGGGACTGGCGCTGGCTTGCAAAGGTTGACAGAGGTTAACTAGACAAATACACAAGCCAGGCACAGTGGTGTGTGCCTGTTGTTCAGTGATCCAGAGGCAGAAAGAGTTCAGGACCAGCCTGAGCAAGTGACTGACTTAGCAAGACCCTGTCTTAAAAAAAGAAAAGAAGGAGCAAAACAAGGGTGGAGGGATGTGGCTTAGCAGGAAGGCCCTGGCTTCAATCCTCAGTGCCACACACACACTCATAGACACACTCAGACACACATATGCACACTAAAATAACACAGGAATAACCACTGTCCTTATTTTTCATAATTCCTATGGTCATGTACAATTAAATGACATATATGCTGTCCTGTCTGTTCATCTGTCCTCCTCTTCATCCTTTTCAACACTGTGTAGCCCAGGCTGGTCTCGAACTCCTGATCCGAGCACATCAGCAGGATGACAGGCAGGTGCCACCGCACCCAGCTCCAGCATCTCCTTCAGAGGAAGCTCCCTTCTCGGTCCCCCTCAGGCCAGCTTCCCTGGAAAGGAGGATGAGCAGCGGCCGGCTTTTAGCCAAGAGGTTAGCTCTCCTTTAGGAAAGTGAAACGTAGACGAGAAATAGAAACCAAATCCATAGGGCGGCATCTGCTCCCTCCTGGCTTCCTCATGGCACCGGACATAGGTGGCCTGTGTGGATGCTACTCCTTGTCAGGGAGGCTCGGCTCCATCCCTTGGGAGGGAAGGGCTGTGGGCTTCGAGTGAGCCAGATGCAGTTTGTCAATCAGGTCACCCAGATGTTCTCCTTTGGACAAAGAACTGTTGGAGTGAAGTTTTCTGTTCACAGCAAAATTAAGAGGGCACAGAGATTTTCCAGGAACACTTACCGACACATCATTATCCCCAAAAGTCCCCGGTTTACACTAAAGTCCACTCTTGGGGTCAGGGATCTATGGCTTTGGACAAATGTATGATGCATGTGTCCACTGTCCCAGTATCCTGCAGAGCGTTTTCACACACACACTCCACCTTAACCCTCCGTGCTTTGCCTGAATGGCACACTCTTGATCCCCAGGCTTCTGCAAATACAACCTTTTCCAGGTGCAGTGGTGCAAACTTGTAATCTCAGCACAGTGAGAGGCTGAGGCAGGAGAACCACAAGTTCCAGCCTGGCTTTAAGTTTAAAAAATAATAAAAGGCTTGGGCATTTAAGCATATGATGTTTGGACTGTATCCAATAGAATCACATGGATGCCATAAAAATATGAATTCCCTTACACTCAAATATTTTAAGGAAAGAGTCACTACATTGACTACTGTTATGTCGGGTTATATTGTGGTGAAACACTATGTTGCTTAAATTGTTCTGTTCTGACCTGTATTGTTATGTCCTCTTTTATCTCAATCTCCTTCTTTTTTTATTTTTTAATAAAAAATATGAATTCCCTGTCTCATACTTGACTGGTTCAAAATATCTGGGCTGCAACCTAGGGATCTGTAATATCCACGAATTACGGGTCACTCTTACTCCTGCTGTGGTCTGAATACCCCATCCAGATCCCAGCTGTGCTGCCAGGAATTAGGGAGGGATCTGTGTTCCTGACAGAGGAAAGTGCTTGACCAGGAGCAGGTGACAGAGATCCACGTGGAAGAGCAGTGGGTCCTGCTTCCTCACTTCCTCAGGGCCTGTGCTGACTGGGCAGGGCCCCAGGTACTCTCTGTAGACTTTGAAGCCTGAGGTTCCCCAGGTGGACTGTTATGAAATCTCTACGAAGGAGAGCTTTTTTCTGGGTACCGGGATCGAACTCACAGAACTCACTACCGCCTGCTTGCAAGGCAGGTGCTTATACCGCTGAGCTAAATCCCTAGCCCCAAGAAGGAGGTCTTTGAGCCAGGTAAGACCTCTGTGTAATCTCCCCTGAGACTTCAGTTCCAACCTTCTTGGAGTACAGGTGACACTGAATTAGAATGATTCCACTTAAAACACTTCCGTTTTACAGCAGTGCAAAAGCAGCATGCATCCAGGAGAAAAGGTCCCTTGAAATCGACCTTAAAGGTCCAGGCAGGCTTTGCTAAGGTGCCTCTCAGTCCTCCTGCCTCCGCCCTACAAGGAGCTGGGGTTCCAGGTGCTGGCTGGTAGCCTGCCTCTCCCCGCCCCCGCTGGCTGGCATGAGCCGCAGGAAGGGAGCAGTGTGACTGGTCTGCCAGGCTGAGCTGGGACGTTCGGGAAGGTGTGTGAACTCGGTGCATCCTTACAGGCTCATTTTATGAAGGGTTAGTGCCGCAGAAGCCACCCTGCCCAGGCGCCCTGTACTGCTAAGCGGAATAGAAGGCTGGAATCGGGTGACCTCCTGGGACAGGGGGACCCCCACTATGGGTGCCGACCCCCAGCCCACCTCTGTGGGGCTCTTCCCTCTCCTTCCCTTCTCTGCTGGTTTCAGTTCTGACTTCCCGGAGAAGCAAAAGTGAAACTGTTCTGCTCCCAGTATGATGAAGCACATCGCAGGACACAGGAAGCCAGAGCCACACAGCACAATAAAACTGTCTTAGCAGAACTCAAAAATAACCCTGACTGACCCTGTCTCCAAAATCGTAAACCCTAGGAAATCCCCAAGGAACCTGGACCCTCTGAACAATGTCTTCCCTGCCTTTTGATTTTAGGGTTTTATTTTGTTTTTTCCTCCTTGAGACAGGGTCTTTCTAAATTGTCCAGGCTGTCCTTGAACTTTTCACCCTCCTACCTCAGCTTCCTGATAGCTGGGATTACAATTCTAAACTGCTATATTCAACCCTGACTCCTGACTTTTGATATCCTGAGGTCTGAAGAGTGAATGACCCTTGTAAACATGGCAACTGTCTTAGTCACGCTTGGCTTTGCTGAGATAAACACCCAACATCCACAGTTAAAGGAGGAGAGGTTTATTTAGCTCAATTTGCGGAGGTTTCGGTACATAATTAGCTGGCTCCACGGCAGGCTGGCAGTGCAGAAGGGGAACAGCTCACTACGGGCAGGAAGTTGCAAAACAACAAGGGGCGACCACAGCACTTTCTGTCCCTTGTATCTTATCCAGGCTACTTCGGGGAGCACTCGCACCCCAGTCCTTGTGCCCTCGATCCTAGCATTGCACCGTGAATCAGTCACACACTCCATATCCGGCCACCTCTGAAAAGGCCACCTAGGACTGGACCACGTGAGGCTTTGAGGTAACAAGCAGACAGCCGTAACAGCAGCCGTCTGACAAAGTTGCTTCCCCCACCCTACCATCAAGAACTCCATGTGAAATGAATCCCCTTGGCAATTTTACCTTTCTTTTCCTTTAAATATTTGTGGTTTGAATTTCCTTTAAATATTTGGTTTCTTCAGAAAATAGTCTGATATATTCTGACGGCAAACACAATATTTCCTTCTTTTTTGAGCGAGACTAATTTATTTTAGTAAAACTATTTATTTTGTAATTGAAAAAATCATAAGTATGTATGCCATACAATATTTTAAAATGTGTACACCCTGTAATGGCCAAATTGAGTCACTAACATTTGTGTGACCTTACACACTTAACATTTGTGTGGTGAGAATACTTAAAATCTACTTTTTAAAATTTTCCTATTTTTAGCCTAGTGTCACACACTTATAATTCCGGCACTGTGGAAGCTGAGGCACGAGGATCTCAAGTTCCAGACCAGCCTTGGGTACATAGCAGCCTGTCTCAAAAGACCAAAACCAAAAATTGTATATTAAAAAGTTTTCTATTTTTCTTTTTCACTTAAAAACATTTTTCTGGGGCTGGGGATTTAGTTCAGCAGCATAAGCGCCTGCCTTGCAAGCAGGCAGTCGTGAGTTCGATCCCTGGTACCCATAAAAAGGAAAAAGACCAAAAAAAAAATTTTTTTTCTCCTTTATACAAAGACAGATAGGGTCTTTGTGACCCAAAACTGAAAATTTTTCAGACGGTCCTGTTCCAGATTATAAATTTCCTATAATTGATTTCTTAATTCTGAATTCTAGGCTATTAAGAAAGGAATTAAGAAAAAATAAAAATAAATGCAATTTATAATTTAATCACCTCTTTTTTGGTTTGTTTTTGTACAGTCGAACTCAGGACCTTATTACAATCACCTTTCTGTTGCTGTAACAAAACAAAAAAAAATTGAAGACTACATTGCCTTGTTAACCACCATTTTGCTCTGCTGCTAAGAGATCCATTTCTTACCCTCCAGGTGTCAGTGAGACCCTGCAGGACTCCTCTTTCTGTGCTGGGCTTATTTCACACAACAGGATGTCCACCACGTTCATCCAGTTGTTCCAAATTCGTTAGGCATGCTGGTGCACACCTGTAATCCCAGTAGTCGAGAGGCTGAAGCAGGAGGATCTTGCTTCGAGTTTAAGGCCAGGCTGGACTATGGAGGGAGTTGAAGGCTGTCTGGAACTGTGTAGCACGAATGAGCCAGGATTTCCTTCTCCCTCTCACCTCTTTGTCACTCCTCCTCCAAGGGACACTGGTGCGGCTTCATTTGTTGGCTGCTGCTCGAGAGCCCCCTTCTCCCTCACACACGATCTCACGTCCTGAGGCTGTGTGCCCAAGTGATGTCGCTGGATCTTTTTGTTGTTGTTGTTGCAAGAGTTTTCATTTTTTAATCTTTAAAATATCTTTATGGAGCTATAACTCACAGACCATAGAATCCACTGAACTATGCAATCGTCACCACAATCATTTCAGAAGAATCCCCCCCCCCACCCCAAAAACCTATACCCTTGAGAAGTCAGCTGCTGTCTCTTGCTGGATTTTGGTTTGTCTGGTTCTTCCTTTTTGGTCTCTTTTGCAGTATGTGTTCACAATACAGTGCATAACAAGAGCTGGGCCGTATACATATTGGGCCTTATTATTTTCACTTGCTCTTCACTTCCCCCCAAAGTCTATCTCCCTGCTTTCTATTATCTGTCTTTCATTTTGCTCTTCATTTATACTTTGGGTTCCTCATGTTGAAGAAAGCATGCAAAATTTCACCTGTTGTGTCTGATTTATTTCACTATGGACTCGAGGAGCGTCCATTTTCCTACAAATGTCTTAGATTTGTCCTTTATGACAGAGTGGGGCTCCAATGTGTAAAACGCCACATTTTTTTAACCCACCCATCTGCTGCTGGACATATATAGGCTGCTCCCAGGACCTCGCTAGTGCGAGCTGTGCTGCTATAAACGTGGGCGCCTGTATCACTGTAACACTGGGAAGACCGCCAGAGGCCTCTCGGGGCAGAAAACTTATTTGTGGCGAGACTGTCTGCATTTGGGACAGGAAGAGAGATCAGCAGATGGGGAGCTTGGTGAGAACAGAAAGAGCTGGGAAAGGCAGAGGAAAGGTGGGAGTGAGAGGGATACGGAAACGGAGACGGAGATGGAGATGGAGAAGAGAAAGGCCCCTTCTGAGGCAAGCACAACCTCTTGGCCTCACGAGGAGCCTTGCAATGAGCCTGGGGCCTCTGGTCTTTTCCTTGGCCCACTTGGTGGAGCACATTTGTCTTTGGTTCCATATGCATGATCACTTGGAGTTTTGCAGCCTCTGCAAGAATAATAAACTGTTTCAGTTTTCTGGTGCAATAGAGAAGTGAAAAGTGAAAAAAAAGGAAAAGAACAGGTGTATTGAGGATGTGGAAAGGTGCACACAACCCATGGCAGCTGGGCTGTCTCCTTCAACCAGATACAGAGAGGCAGAGGGTTATATGACCTCTGATCAGGAGTGGCACATGGGGTGGATATCGATGATGTGTGAGGAACTGATTGGAATTCTCTGTGTGTGTAAACAGGAAGGGGAGTTGCAGTTAGGGCTAAAGAAGAAGCAGGAAGTGGTAGGCGTTCCTGCTTAGACCACCGCTATGATTGTACAGTAATTTATACTAGGGCAACAACCTTTCATAAACAAATTTGAGGTTGGCAGCACGTGCCTGTAATCCCAGCCCTTGGGAGGTTGAGGTAGGAAGATCTCTATGAGTTTAAGGCCAGCCTGGGTTACATAGTGCGACCCCCATCTCAAATAAAACAAAACAGACAGACAACAAAGCGTGACCTTGATAAGAGGAAGAGAAGGCAGCTTCTGTCCCAGCTTCACTTGAACACTAGGAATGAACATTTGCTGTGTATGGTGACATACACCTACAATCCCAGCACTCAGGAAGCTGAGGCAGGAAGATTGCCATGAGTGCAAAGCCAGCCTGGGCTACATAGTGAGTTCAAGGCCATCATGAACTGCATGGCGAGATCCTGTCTCAAAATAAATAAACAAATTTTTCAAAGAAGTTAAAGCATGTGTAATCAAAGCATGAGCACCAGAAAGGAAAGGCAGGTTGGAGAAAGAGCCACGTTCAGTAAACTGCTCTTAAGGGACTTGAATAGTGATTGTAACCAGTTGGCTCTTGGACTCCTCCACTGATAGAGGTTTTCCATGACCTGATAGCCTGATACAAGTACAATATTTCTTATCCTAACTCCCTCTAGTTTTAACTGTAAGATGATGGAGAGAAGAAATTTAAACACTGTTGACTTTACAGATTCCACTATAGTTTTTCCCATTTCGATGAACCATAAAAGTGATCAGTTACTGGTATATTTGGAAATTTCCAGTAGCAGATAGTGATTGGAGCCCATTTTTATATCTAGCTTTTATTACTACTGCTATGGATTAAAAACTGGTCAATTTAACGCCATCTGAATTAAATCAGCATGATGCTGAGTGTAGATGGCTCACCTGAGGGAAGTTGTCAGCATAAATAGAGACGTGAAGAAGAGCGAGGCATTGTGGGTTCCTCTAAGTGTCGCTGTTTGAGCCGTTGGTTCTCCTGGAGGAGCTTGTCATGACTAGCTTCCGCAATATGAGTTCGACTGTTGTCATCAGAGGAGCCCAGGACCTTGTTGATGGAGGTGGCTGTGGTTCACTTTGGGGGAGCTCTCTGGTCCTTACATCGAGCATTGCTTCCTGACTCCAAAGGGGAAGATGTGTGCTGTTTAAAGTCCAGGAAGAAACTCGTCACACTGGCTTCCTGGAATGCACTCGACTGTTATCATGGGAGGAGCTCGGGAGCTCTATGTCACTGAGGATGGCTGTAGTGCTTTTCCGGGCAGCCCTGGTCCTTATTTTGAGCATGACTTCTCAGCTCCAGCATAGAACCCTCAACCTACCAGCACAGCGCCTTCACCCTGCTGGCATAGACTTTCTAGCTTCCACCACTGACCTTTGGGCCTTCCCGACACAGATCCATAAAAGAGACTGGTGTGAGTCCTTGTAGGCTCTAGACCTCCACCTGGACTCGTGGGAGGCACTGTCATGGGCTCTAGGTCTTCATCTGGACTCATGTAGGACATTGCTGTGGGATCCAGGCCCTTGGCTGAATATTCTTGGTCTTTAGTGTTGTGGACAGATTTCCTGTACTTTGATGTATTTAATTCTGGGAGAACATCATAAAATAATATTATAAATTCTGTGTCCTATATGTAATTGTTCTCCTTACAACCACTGACTCTAACAGCTATGATGGTACTGTTTTCATGCATCTTTTGGTTATACTTTTCTGCTATTTAAGACCAAGTTATAGTCAGACCCTTGTTAATCAAAATCCACCCCTTGCTGTCTGTCAAGGTCAGTGAAGCCTCCTCAGGCATCACTTTGGAACCATGTGCAGAGCCTCTCAGCTCCTGTCAGCATCAGCCACCAGGATGGGTTGTGGTCCTGCTTGACCCTGTGGCTTTCTATGAAAGCACAGGAGACTGTTCTCTCTTTAGTGACCCTCTTTTCTGAGCCCTTTTAAAAATACTGAGACACAACCTCACTGAAGCACCCAGGCTGAGATTGAACTTGAAATCCTCTTGCTTCCTGCCTCCTGTGCCAGTGCTCCTGCCCTGAAGGAGCCTGACCACCACCATCCTAGGCTGACCAGAGGCCACTTTAAGCATCTTCCATCCCGCTGGGCTTTTACCCCTCCTAAAAACATGTAATCACGGGTTAACATGGCCCGGTAACCATGGTTACAACCCTAACTCCATCACCCTTCAGCCCTGCCTTTGACAGTGACCACTACTCTCTGTACTTCAAGCCTGGTCCCTGGCAGGATCGATGCCACCAGGATTCCTAGCCACACAGTGGCACATACCTCCAGACACAGCACACTTGTTGATCCTTGCTCTTTAGGATACCTTCTTCTTCACAATGCCCTGGGCCCCTCTGCTCAAAATTCTTTGCATTCACCTGGACGGATCCCGAGCTGAGGTCACACCGCAGTGGACCTGGACAATCCTGCAACAGTGATTCTGTGACAGCCCCATCTCTTTGGGCAAGCATGCAAAGCCATCTCGGACTTTGACCAAAGCCCTAGTGGCCTCCACAGGATACTGATGACCTCCCTCCTCCACAGCCTCACAAATTCATAGGGAGAATTCAGATTGCTCTTCCCCTTAACTTTCTGGCAGATGGAGGTTTAGGGGTCTCTAAATGCAAGGCCCAAATGTACCCAGTGGTGATTTGCTTGGGACTCTATTACTCCCACTACCGGAAAAATCCTGGAAGACAAAAACAAAATAAAACCCCACAGTTTCCTCTCTACCCTTCCCCAAGACTACACGGGAACTTCTCTCCTTCTGTCTTAGGCTGTGGATCCACCTCTTTGCTGTGATAGCTGTATCACCTTATGAGGCCCCTCACTTCTGATTCTTTATTAGCCTGTGCATTCCAGGAACTGAAAACAGCCCTACCCCAGCCCCACTTTACGCCTTCCCAACCCTAATAAATCCTCTGTCTTATATCCAAGCACAAGGCCTCAGGCACTGGGCCTCCCTGCTCCCTGCAGCCTGCTCCTCTAAGCAGCTGGACCCCATCACCACAGCTGGCCACTGGGCCCCAAGGTGCTGGTGCTGCTGCTCTCCTTATCCCTGAAGATCAAAGAATAAATCATCAGCCCCTCTGCATCTGGTCCTCCCGTGACCTGTGGAGTGTGCTAAGCTGCAGGGCTCTTCCTTCCATCACTCCCTGTAGAACTCAGAGCCTACACTCTCTTAACACGAACTCTGATCTCCTTCCATCCCAGTCCCGCTAAATTCCACTTCACTCATGCCTGAGCCTGGCCCCACGGGGACTTGAGAGGACCACTCCTGTCCTGAATTGGTAGATTTCTCCTTGACACTTTTTCACCTCCTGACCTCTACTCACATCTCAGCCATCCCCTATTGTTTGCTGAGGACGGTGCCTCTAAAACACTCCTTACCAGGCTGCTTATGCTGTAGCAGAGGGCTGTCATGACAATGTGCCTTTCCTCCAGGGAAGTCATGGAGGTCACCCCACTTCCAAAGGGCACCACCTCACGGCAGGACGCGTTCATGGAAATAACCAGAGTGCTAACCTTAGCAAAGGGCAGGGCCACTAACATATACACTGATTCTAAATATGCCTGCAATATTGCGCACCCGAATGCATAAATCTGGCAGAAGGAGTTTCTAACACCAAGGGAACACCCATTGCAAATGGAAAGCTGACCCCTGTCCTATGGCGGGCAGCCCTTCTCCTGCCCAGGCCAGAAAGACCATCAAAGGGGTAAAAATGTGCCACCGCAGGAAATAACACAGCAGACCGCCTGGCTTGAGCAGCGGCTTCAGGCTTCTGCCCCACCTAACCCCTCTTCTCTTTGTCAGTCTCCTCAGGATCCATGGAGGCTGCAGGAACAAGGGGCCACCATCCATGGGCCGCGGTGGTTTTTGCACAGAAAATGAGTCCTCCCTGAGACCTCTCATGTCTCTCTCATTTTACCAATTGAACTCCCATTTTCATGCAGGATTTCTCCCATTTACACACACACACACACACACACACACACACACACACACACACACACACAATCCCACAAAAAACTCTGCACCGACTCTCAAAAGATTGCTCCATCAGTCAGCAAACTTCCCCTCAGACTACCATCTGTCCCCTCCTTTCCCTACACACCAGGCTAGGGCTGAAGAAGATTGACAAATGGATTGCACTCATACGCTCCCCTCTTTCCCATTAAAAGGACCTGTTATTTACTGGTTAGTGGATACATTTACAGAACGGGTGGAAATCTTCACTACCATGGGGCTTCCACTGTGGTTAACACCCCTTTAACCGAGATCATAGCAGAGTTTAGACTCCCCACATGCCTGCAGTCAGATTGTAGACAGGAATTTACCTCTCAGATTTATTTCTGTTTATTTCATTTGTTGAGATAAGGTTTTGCTATGTGGTTCACATATGTAGTGAACATATGTAGCCCAGGCAGGCCTTGAACTCTTAGTGATCTTCCTGCCTCAGCCTCCCGAGTGTTGGTATTACAGGTATGTACCACCACACTGGCACCTCTAGGATTTCTTTACACCTGGCAAAATCACTTAACACAAACTGGTATTTTTATATTCCTTATCATGCCCATTCATCAGGAAAAGTAGAAGGGACAAATGGGATCTTAGAAACACACTTACTGAACTCGCAATCTAGACACACAACAACACTGACTCCTCCTCCCACTCAGCCCTCTTCAGGCGGAGCACCCTCCCCTGTAAACCTGCTATGCTAAGCCCTTGGACTGATGTGTAGGACAGTTTGATTCCAGTTCCTCAGTGGACCAGAATCCCTCACCCCCGAGTCCTCTAATCTCATCCCTGTTAAATGCACCTGCAGCTCACCATGGGCGCAGACTGAGCCTCACCTTCCCCAACCAGCCCTACAGCCTATGGGTTCAAGGCCTCATTTATGCCAGGCACCTGGGTCTCTGTGAGGGCATCCCTAGACCTCTTGTGCCCTAAATGGGATGGACCCCAAGTAACACTCACAACTCTGGCAGCGGCTAAACTCCAACTCTGTCCTTGCCTGCTCCCTGACAGGGACCACTGCGGTAGAGGTTCACGCTTACCGCCACCCACAATGTGGCTGCGTGACACCTTCCTCTCTAACTCCTTTTACAAGATGTCTCAGTGTTCTGGCCCAGGAACTACCCCTTCACTCCTTCCAGAGCATCTCTGTGATCTCAGGCTTCCGGGATCCCTTTGTGACTTTGTCCCCATCCAAATAGAGTTTTTTTCCTTCTGTACCCTTATTTCCTCCACTCAGTAACTCAGATTTCAAGGCCACTGCAACTGAACCATCAATGAGGCTGAATAGTCCATTGGAACAAGTGACAAGGACCTGGCTCATTGTAGGAATCCTCTGTTTGGGGTAATTATGGCAAATCATCCAGCCTCATGGGCCCACACTCCTGCCGCTGGGTGTGCGCAGAAATTCCCAGAAGTGCAGACAGAGGATTCCCCTGGCGTCTTGCTCTGGCAACATTTGAGAATAGGGCAGCTTTCTCTTGCTGAAACAGGCAAGGACCTGAACAGGAGGAACACCCTGGGCCATGGAAAGCTCACTCTAGCAGGGCAAAACAGGACAACCACTCAAGGGATGTGCTGACTCCAGTGGCTGAGGGTGGGTAATAGCTGAAAGCATTACCATGAAAGACCCAATTGTGTGATGAGTTGAACAACAATCTGATCCTAATTGCAGGGCAGGATGGACACCTGACACCTATGTCATGATATTGCATTTGCTGCTGCACTGTGTGGTGGAATGAGAAAATCACCATGGGACAGTTCTTACAGATGCGGCTCCATCAGGACATGTGCAGATGGCCATTTCTACCCTCTAACCGGACAGGATGGTGCACATGAGGACACGCTTGTATTCCTGGCTATAGTTTCTCCTCTCCTCCAGAAGGCCTCCAAAACTGGGATGCAGTCTACCACTAGTAGCAGCGTATAAAATGCACACCTGGTGGTTTTACCCTCTGGCTGTGACCCTTCCAGGAGTTGCTGGGTAGGGTAGACTTGGATGTAGAGCCTTAGCCCAGCACTGAGCCCATGCTATTTGCCAGGCTATAACATTATTAATGGATGAAACACCCCAAGTGAGAAAGGTAATTTTACAAAATCATATGGCTTTAGATCTCCTTACACCTGCACAAGGGGGCACATAAGCCATGCTTCGTACAACATGTTGTAATTTATCCCAAATAATTGTGACTGTGGAGCAGAGGCTCTGCAGGAGACAGACACCGAGGTCTAGGCAGTACCCTGCAGGGTTGATGGGATTCAGGGAAGTCCACTATTCTGTCTTGGAGTCTTCCCTTTGTAGTGCCTGTTCTTGCCTGTTTGGACTGCTGGGCTTCATTACTCTGTTTCAAAGATTTCTCACCAGCAGGACTGTGGCCATGTCACAGGCGGCTCCTAATGACCATGTCAGGGCAGCTCTCCTTGTTTGGTTCAGTCAAAATCTCAACCATGCCCCTAATCAGCAGAAAGTAGTTAAGGAAGAGATGCACTACCTGTTTTCCTTATCTGTCCACAGAGTCTGGAATGAAAAGTTTGACCACCACCATCCTAGGGCTGACCAGAGGCCATGTTAAAGCCTCTTCCATCCTGTTGTGCTTTTACCCCTCCTGCAGG